GTCAAGTATATGTTTATGAAGAGTGGGGAGGGTGTGTTAGAAGATAGTCTCAGCATCCATTATTTGATAATGTCTAAAATTGAAAAACCAAAAAAAAGTAATAGAAGCATGCTGTTTCCAGGTATGAATGAGAATACTAGAAGAATTAGCTTAAAGAATTAAAAGTGATTTCCTCTGACTGGAGGTATGGCACCATTATCTTTCACAAACTTTGTAGAACGATTTGACTCTTTTACCCTCTGTGCATGAATAACAAATTAAAAAAATTAAAACCAGACGTAAAGCAAAAGAAGTTATCTGTATGTAATGCCAAAAAGAAAGCAATTTACAAAGCAGGGCATTTCTACGAGAATGGAGACAGCCTTGCCGTCTCTGGAGGCTAACACATATTGAATAACCACATACTTCCAGGGATGGCAATTAAGCTCTCTCAGTGGATGCTCCTTGTGTGTGTCACTTTGGAAAACATTTGACCCTTTCAGCCTTCTACTGCATCTGGCAGGATTTCCCCTGGCTCGCTGTGTCACTGTAACAGGTGAATTACTAAGAAAAAAAGCATTCCTTCTGTCTGTGGACACTTGTTTATAATGGCATTCAGGGTCCCAGAGCTAGGCTGACAGATGCTCTTCCAGAAGGTTAATGAGATAAAGGTTCCTCCAGCTGGCCCTTAAGCAGAGCTTACACCTGAGGGGAAGATAAGCAGATTATTCCAGAAACAGCCACTGCTTCATGTTCCTTATAAATTAGCACCCTCGTAAAGGTAAACCAAGAAGGTTATCCTTACTCAGCTGGCATCGGTATTTAATTATTTTTCAGATTTTTGTCATTTGTTTTAAATGAGATTTGGGGCCGTTCCATGATTGTTACCGGATTTACCAATGCACAAAAGTCAGAATGTATTTGGAAACTACATTTGGAAGGGTTATTTTTGTTTTTTGGATTTTTCTCCAAGTTCAAGGAACCAAAGGTGAGTTATTTAAATATTTGTTTATTTTTAAATTGCTTATCTATAAAACTCATTTCCAGAAATGAACATTCAAAATCAACAAGGTTGCCACTGTATCTCAGAGGGCTAGTGTATATGTAAGGTAGTCAAGAATGATTGATTGATTGATTGATTGATTGAATGATTGTCAGAAATAGTTTGACTTTATTGAATACTTACTACATACTCTTAAGTGCAATTTATGTTAACAATAGAAGAGATGAATGCATCCTTTCTGATTTTAGTAAACATTGAATACAAATTCATATCATTAATATCAACGACAGTAGATCCATGAAACAAATTCCATTTATCCCTTAAAATTGACAAATGAAATTAATATTTAAGTCATTTATGATCAGACAAAAAACATATTTCTTACCTTCTCATAGTTAAATCATGAGTTGCTTTCTCTTAGAAAATAACAAGAGTGCTTTATCTTCAGAGTAGTTTATGATTACAATCCACTTAGAAACTTGGAAATTTTAAAGTTGTATGCATAATAAAACTAGGCACTGAATGTTCTTTTGACAAATCTTCAAATGACTCTAAAATTAAAGCAAGCCACAAATCAGGCATATTTAAGAAAAATAATATATTTTAAAAACGGTTGAAGAAAGCTTCCCTTTTTTTAAGAATCAGCCTGATCATTATAACTTAAATTTTTTTTATTATGTTAGTTTCAGGTGTACAAAACAACATAAAAATTAGACATTTACTCCCCTCACAAAGTAATAAACACCCCCACAGTCTACTACCCCTCTGACATCATATATAGCTGTTATAATACCACTGACTCTATTCCCTATGCTGTATTTTACATCCTGTGACTCTATGGACTTGTCAAGGGGATCACTTTATAGACTGTAGATGCCTGACCACTTGTCTGTACACCTGAAGCTCAAGTAGAATATTAAATGTCAAATATAATTAAATATATACATATACATATATACATATATATAACAAATTTTTAAGACATTTGAAATGAATAATGTTCGGTTCTTCTTTAAGAATGACATAGCTTCAGAAGATTAACATTTTTATTGAAGCATTGGTTTGGAAATGACCCATAGAAAAGTAAAACAAATAGTTGGTTGCATTTGTAAGTCACAAAATAACTGATTCTGTCAGTTATTTTACGTGTAATTTTTTTTAGTGGCTGCATTTGGAGGGAGAAAAAATTTCTGGAAAATATTATATAAAAATTTCCTCTATGTTTAGCTACATAAATGATAGTGAATGAAGCAAAAGTTTACTTATCTTTTTTTCAATTGTCAATTACATATAAATGTTTACATTTATAAAAACATTTCAAGTAGAAGCAAATGACAGTATTCTAGTGTATTCTGAACTTAATCCACGGAAGCAAACCAATTTATCTGTTTCACAAACTTTACCAGACAAATCAGCTTTGGTTTTATTTGTTTGTTTATTATGTTAACTAATTTAACAATGTTTTCTTATTTTCATATATTGCATATCAGCCCTTACAAACATTTGCAAATAGCATAATTCTATACAGAAAGTTAAATGAAATAAGGTCACCAAAAAGCTACAATTTGTTATATGCTGATTTCTATAAAACAAAATATTATAACTACATAATAAAAAATCCTAACATGTTACTTGTTTGGGGCTTTTTATTCCATAAGATTCTCACATCTCTGACTTTCTGTTAATCATCAATTAGTAATCTACATTAATTACTGTTTGTTTACTTCTCCAGATTGGTTTTCCATTTGTGACTAATTAACCAGCATGAGTGTATTTACATAGAAAGTGGTTTTAGGAGAGAGAAGAGTTCAATTCAACAAAACTAGCTGTTAAGCATAACAGTTGGGTGTTTAAATTCAAGAATTTGTTTTTAAAAAATTATAGATTATTTGAAAAGTCAAAAAGATATGAAAAAATTACCCATAGTGCTTCTATCCAAACACAGCCTATGTTAGCACATTCATATGTTTACTCAGTCTTTCTTCTATGTATGCTTACTTAATTTTTACATAATTGCAGTTGTACCACACACACAATTTTATATCAGGTTTTTTGCAGTTCTAATACACCATATGAATATTCCACATTGCCTTCCAGTTTTGACAAGCATCATTTTATTGGCTGCATACTGTTCCTTTCAATTGATATATCACGGTTAGCTTTATCTAAATACTCAACAAAGGAGAAATAATTTTTCCTAATTATTTTGTTATTATGAATAACATTGTGATAAACATCTTTGTTCATAAGCCTCAGTATTTAAGATTCTTAGCATAAATTCACTAATCTAAAATTATTGGGTCTAAGTAATATAAATAGCTTTATAGTATTTGATTTATATTGCCAAATTACTTCTCAAAAGGTTTCTTGTCCCCTTAGGTGATTTTTTCCCATTTCATTTCATAGAGTGCTTACCATGTATCCAATACAGAATATTAAGAGATTCAAAAACATGCCAATATTTCAAAAGGTCCCCTTTAAGCTTTGCAGATTCTGAATGTAGTTTTTCCATTGATACATAAAAGTGAAATGGTTTTGATTTTAAAACATTCATTAAATAAAAATTTTTAGCTAAACAAAAAGCAGTTTAGTAGTTTCAAAGAATAGTTATTTCATGGACATACCAAAGCTCCTCTCTTTGGTATTCACATTGAGGATGCCAGTTGCATCAGATGTGCACAAAACTGCTAAACCTCTTACCTTTCCACTTCACCTAAATAATTTCATCTAATTGCTTATGACATTCTGATGTGTGGGAGAAAGAAAAGAGAGAAAATCCACCCTTAGCAAGCCATAAAATGGAGATGGTATTTATCAGAGTATGAGGTATGATCAAACAATACGGCAAATATTTAAATTTAAAAAAACTTATTACAGTAAAAGACACGTTGCCATTAATCCCCCTCAAAATACTCCCCCTCGCTTCCAACACACTTATCTCATTGTTCTTGCCACTTTGTGAAGCAGTTCTGGAAGTCCTCTTTCGTGATTGTCTTTAGTTGCTCATATGTGCCTTTTGCATTACATTTGGTTATACTAAATGAAACCTTTAACTAAGTTATTATTAGTCCACCAAGGCAGGGTAATTATTTTAGTAACTGTGAAATGTCAGGAAATTCACATTTGAAGATACTTTCGCTTCTTGCTAATCCTTTACTAGTGGGGTATGTTCTCATTTCATAAAATTACCTAGGAAGGTATTTTCCCTCATTGTGGGTTCATTAGCAGAGAACATGGCTTCATTTATATACCTGAGATAGATACCCAGTGACAGTCACATTAACTTTGCAACTCCTATATTTTTTTCATCTTTGCTAGTTTCAGGGCAGTGAAATTCTAAAGGCTCAAGGCAGATGTTTTTTTTGTTTAATTGTATCTGAGATGTCCTTAAAATCAAAGCTGTGTAAATGAAAAGCACTTTGCATCCAACTGAACTGTGGCAGCACGCTTCAAACCATTTATTAGATTATATACTTGCTTTAAAAATAAAAAGCAGTTGTTGCCTTGTAGCCCCTCCATGCACATTTCACTGATCACACTAAAGGACCATTATACCTGTGAGCTAATTAGGCAGCAATAACATGACCTACTGCTTTCTTGGCCATTTCTGTCAGTCAAGGGCATACAGCTACCTTAAATATGGACTGTAATTGCATGACAATCCTCTCTGAAAATTCGGATCCAATATACCTTGAATGCCTCAATCATGTTCACAGATTTCATGCTCTTTTAAAATAATCCATCTGAGGTAACAAAGTTTGTTTTCCACAATATTCTCTAGGCTTATATTTTAATTCAGTATATATGTGTTAATGAACATAATAAAAGTCCTAACCTTATCACTATATTGTGAAGTGTCAAACTCTAAGGTGTCTGAGCTCTCAGTCCACACCACTGCTTCTTGCTTTGGGGTAGGAGAGACACTTCTGCGGAAGTGGGGAGGGAACTGGTGGAAGGAAGGAACGAAGGAAAGAAGGAAGGAAGGAAGG